ATTAATATCTAAAACATATTCTATAAATAATATATCTCAACAGTAACGAATGTCGAGACCATTAGAAGCTGAATTTGAATTTTAAAGACGGGTCTAACTCATTCAAAACTAATCTCTTATTATAATATCATAAATGATTATTAAGCTTTGATTGGATCAATTCACGTCAAGTTAAACTAACTATTTTTATTATTTTTTTAAACACGAGACTTATTTGTAGATTCTCATTTATCCATTCTCTCACTTTGATGTGAAATAATAATAATAAATAAAATTATATCATAAAATATTTATTTAATTTATTAATTGAAATGTGAAAAGAGAGTTTAAAACTAATAAATAAAAATTTATAAAAATAAAGAAAAAGAAGAAAAGGGAAGCTTGAAATTAAAATATTTAATAATAGAATAAAATATACAAAATTACAGATAATTTGTTTGTCTGTCTTTTTACGCTCAGCCAATTTAATATATATATTAATTTAAAAAAAGCAATTTATTAATATTATAATTATGAAGAAGACAAAATAAATAATTTAAGTGGTTGGTGGCTGTCACTTGAAAAATTGAAAACACTAAAATAAAATAAAATAAAATAAAATAATATTTCTTATTACATTAATGTCACCCCAATATTCCTCTCCAAGTTTGGTCAATTTCTTTATTTATTTTCTCTTCAACTAAATCAAATTAAAAAAAATTAATAAATAACAATTAAAACCTAATCCATATTTGGGTTGTTTTTCATTAATTATTTCATAAATATTGTATTTTTTAAAAAAATTAATTGTTTAAAATAAATAAATAATATATATAATTAATTAATTGGATTTTTTTTTGTGGGGGTAGTGATGTGGTTCGCATGTGTCTGTTGGGTGTATGAAAGGGGTAAATTGGGGAAGAGGTATTATGGTTATTAAATAAATATAAGAGTCTTTTTTTAATGCAAATTATTAAATATTATATTATTTTTTAAAAAGAAAAAAGAAAAAAAAGGCATTTTTATATAAAATAGGGTGTGGGCCCTTTCTATTTAAGGAAAGATTCTCCTTTCCGGTTTCCTTTTTCTCAAAGTTTTAAAAGGGTCAGACAAAATGTGATTTCAGATTTCAAAGGCTTCCCGGGAAGCGTGTGAGGGACTCCTCCCACGTGTGCCCAACTCCACCCTGCCCATTTAATCATTATTTTCTTTTTAATTCTATTAAATTACACCATTAATTCTTTAAGTCTTTCATTTTTTAAATATCCATATAAATAAAAATAATTTAAGCTATATTACTTTATATTCACGCCAACGCATATTTTATTTTAAATATTTGGTATGCAATTTTTAAGTTATTTTATTTATGTACGTGGTAGTGATCTAATTTAAATTAAAGCTGGAATAAAAATTAAATTATTTTCATATATCATTGTGATTGGATCATATCAGATCAGCTCGAGACTTTGTCTCTATACTATAGTTTACTGTCTTATACAAACCCTAATTTATCCTATGATCATTGTGATCATCTAACTTTCTATTTCTACTCGTGGAATCCGAGTGGTCAAGATGGAGGAGACGGAGTATGAACAAAAAAAAAACATGATTATAGGCTATTTCATCCAATATATGCAATATTGGGCCAGATAATAGAAAGCCCATAAAAGAATCATTGTTGGGCTCAATGAGACTCGTTATTGGATCGTTAAAACTGGATTGGGCTGGAGGGGTTAAAAAGCCCAATAGGTGACTGACGTGGCATAAAAGCATCCGAAGTTTGATATGGAGGAGGGAAATTTTAGCGTACTACCGAGAGTACCTATTCCCTTTTTATTTATTAATTATCAATATTAAATAAATATTTATAAAAGTAAAATTTGTCGCTAAATGGTAAACGATTGCGACTTATATATCTTGTTTTATTTATTCATCCATAATGACACATGAACGATATCAGACAGCTGTCAATTTTATGCCATTTTTTTTTTATATCTATTTTTAAGGTTAATAGAGTATGCTGCAACGTTCCATTTGAATTCTATCAAATTCGACAAAATTTCAAATAAAATTAAGAATTTTTAATTTTGTAATATAGAAGGGAAATTCCAAAACATATCACACTTGAATTATTTTTTAATAATTTATCCATTATTTTAGGTAATTATTTAGAATTGTTTCTAAAGTTTTAAGAATAAAATTGCCAATTTCCAAATCCTATATTCCTTGGAAAAAATAGTAATTTAATTTAGTCAAAATGAAAATTATGTTGAAGCTCACTCCTTGAATAGTCCGTCAGTGCCTCGGTTTCCAATTTTCCACGGCGTTATTTTAAACCATCGCCGCCAATTCAAGATATAAACAAATGCCTAATTGCCGAAACCGAGTTCTTGTTCAAAAGCTCAGTAATGGAGTCCCCAGTGATGCGGTTCATAGGTCCCACCACTTCTCCTTCTTTCTCATTCCAAGTTTGAACGCCTCGACTCTCAAGACTAAGATCACTACTCATTATCTTCCACTTATTGCTTTTGAAAATTCCACAGAAAACTCCGCAAATTACTTTTCCTGTCCCGTCGGTTCCTTCCTTCTGGATGCGATTCTCCTTTTAGGTATGTTCATTTTCCCCCAAATCTGTTTGGTAAGGAAATGAATCTTTGAAACGGCAACCTATTTTCTCGTTTCTGAAATTTCGTTTGATCTCTGTCAGATTCTTGGAGATTCTACTGTTAGAAGGAGTTTCTGAAACCTAACCATGGAGGAAGAGGATAGTATTTACACGCAAGATGGAACAGTGGATTACCGCGGAGATCCTGCGATTAGAAGCCAAACAGGAACCTGGAAGGCCTGTCCCTATATTTTGGGTAGTTTTTCTGTTCTGGAAAAGTTAGGTCGATGAGTTTTCATATGGAATTTAACTGATGATTTCTATGGCTTCCGAAATTTACTTGTTGATTCTTGAATGAATAGGCAATGAATTTTGTGAGAGATTGGCTTACTATGGAATGAGCACGAACTTGGTGCTCTACTTTAAGAAACATTTGAATCAGCACAGTGCTACTGCTGTTAAGAATGTGGCTAATTGGAGTGGAACCTGCTACATTACTCCCTTGATCGGAGCTTTTCTGGCTGATGCCTACTTGGGAAGATATCGAACTATTGCTACCTTCTCCATCATCTATGTTGTCGTGAGTTCTCTCTCTCCAAAACTTGTGGATTGCTACCTTCTCTATCATCTATGTTATTGTGAGTTCTCTATCAGAAACTTGTAGAAGATAGAGATTTATTGATACTAATTTGATCGTGTAGCTCAACTAAGTTAAAACATATACTCTAAACTAAGAAGTGAATTCAAATCTAACTCCAGAATTGGTGTTTGAGAGTTTAAGCTTCAATGGGAAATTGTGATACATTTGCAGGGGATGACACTTTTGACATTGTCAGCTTCAGTTCATGGTTTAAAGCCCACATGTGTTGCTAAAGATGATTGTCAAGCGACGACTGCACAAAGTGCAGTGTGTTTTGTGGCTTTGTACTTGATTGCATTGGGAACTGGTGGCATTAAGCCTTGTGTTTCATCTTACGGAGCTGATCAATTTGATGATGCCAATGAAACTGAGAAGAAGCATAAGAGCTCTTTCTTTAATTGGTTCTATCTTTCAATCAATGTTGGTGCTCTTATAGCAAGTTCTGTGCTTGTTTGGGTGCAAGATAATGTGAGTTGGGCTTGGGGGTTTGGTATTCCAGCCATAGCTATGGCGATTGCGGTGGCAAGTTTCTTTTCGGGGACTCGGTTGTTTCGGAACCAGAAACCTGGAGGAAGTCCTTTTACACGGATATCTCAGGTCATGGTGGCATCGTTTAGAAAATATAAGGTGAAAGTACCTGAAAGCAAGGCTTTGTACGAGACTGCTGATTCTGAGTCTTCTATCGTAGGAAGCCGCAAACTCGACCACACCGATGATTTCAGGTTCGATTTTAAAACTGAAAACCCTGCCTTGAAGCACATCTTAAGAGCTACTCATACCCATTTTGTCTGAATTCAGGTTCTTTGACAAGGCAGCAGTGGAGATTGAATCAGATCAGATGTTAAAAGGCTCAGTAAACCCGTGGAGGCTTTGCACTGTCACTCAAGTAGAGGAGCTAAAGGCCATCATAAGGTTGCTTCCAGTTTGGGCAACTGGGATTGTATTTGCTGCTGTATATAGTCAGATGGGCAATTTATTTGTGTTGCAAGGTGATAAAATGGATGCTCATATTGGCCCCAACTTTGAGATCCCAGCAGCATCCCTCTCCATTTTCGACACTTTGAGCGTGATCTTTTGGGTTCCGATTTATGATCGAATCATAGTTCCAGTGGCTCGAAAATACACAGGTCATCCAAACGGTATAACTCAACTGCAGAGAATGGGCATTGGCCTATTTATTTCAATTCTAGCTATGCTATCTGCAGCAATCTTAGAGCTTGTGAGGCTTCGAGAAGTGAGAAAGAACGACTATTACCTACTCGAAAAGATGCCAATGTCCATCTTCTGGCAAGTTCCTCAGTATTTTCTTATTGGTTGTGCTGAAGTATTTACCTTAATTGGCCAATTGGAGTTCTTTTACGAGCAAGCTCCCGACGCCATGAGAAGTCTCTGCTCCGCTCTCTCGCTTACTACCATTGCACTTGGAAACTACCTAAGCTCTCTACTTGTGACTATCGTCACCAAAATCAGCACTAAAGATGGGAGGCTTGGATGGATACCAGACAACTTGAACTACGGTCATATACAATATTTCTTCTTTCTCTTGGTGATCTTGAGTATAAAAAATTTGATTGCTTTCCTTTTCATAGCCAAGTGGTACAAGTATAAGAGACCCATTGGAACAGTTCGCTGATTTATGTAGAAAGAATAATGTAAAACATCCTCCTCTTTATTCTGTATTTTGTTGTTTGCCCTACTCATATTGAAACAAGAGTCAAAAGTTCATACCTGGATAAGTTCTAAAAATTGATTGGAGCTACCTAAACAACTAGGCAATTAAGAACTGAAATTGATTTCAATTTTCAAGCTTTATCCAGCTCGTAATAAGAACATAAGTTTTATCTGAGGAACGAGAACAACTAATTTATAGAATGTTTACAGTACAAGCTTTAATGGAAGAAGAAGAAGTGGTGCACCTTTTTACGTGGGATGTTTGACATTGAAAGGAGAGCTTCTTGGCCTGCTCTTTCCTGGTTTGCCTCTGTTGTAGCTTCTCAGTGGTGTCAAATAGAACCTTAATAAGCCATTATCAAAGTTCTTTGGGGAATACCTGACACTCCGATTCCTCTGCAATGTAAAATCGTCTCTTCGCCTCAAACCGTACAGTTTCGAATCGTTGCCACCGCCATTAATCCCAGCTAGCTTGCTGGGATCTCTACAGCTAACGCTGTAACTACGAATGAGCTTCTGGCTAACAGAACCGTTTGCTTCTCCATTAGCAACACGCCTCAGCTTTTCCCACGACTCGGCGGCAAAAGGCCGATCAACCACATTTCCACCAACACAGCTTTCTTCATCATCAGACTTGCTGCTCTCACCACTTCGCTTCTGGAACATACCCAAAACACTCAACACTTTACGCCATCTATGCACCTTTTTGAACGTCTTTCGATCAATCCCAGTCGCATCAGGAACAGAATCTTTTGAGGTAATATTGGTGCCACTCAAATCGCCATCTCTGGTTGCTTTTGAGTGTGAGTCCTTCAAATCTTTCTCTGTAATTAGCACCTTTGCACCATAGAACAACTCTGTAGTTGCAGGAGATACCTTTGCGTTTGATATTAATTTCAAGTCATCGAAATCCGCTGAGGCCCCTTTTTTGTGTGAACTTGAACGATCGAAACTCTTCCTCCGCCTTACAGAAGACAATGAGTCCATATAGTAATCTTTAGTCTGAGCCGATCCACCAGGGATCTTATCGCCTACATTCATCGGAGATCCTTCTGCTTCATCAGAAGGATCGTCTTTCTCAAATCCAATCCCAGGTAATTTGGCCTCCTCCAAAACTGAAACCATCGGCGTAGGCCTTGGATGAGTTCTTCCAATCAGATACCCATCCCAAGAAGCCCTTGGCTCATCGAACGAATACCGTGAGTCATCCAGCGACATTCTACCTGCATCGACAGAGAATCTTGGATCTGTATCACAAGACCTTCTTCCCAATCCGTATTCTCCAACCTCGGAACGAGTCTCCCTGACTTCAAGCACTCTCGGCTTGATAGCCTCTGTCTTCGCCGCACCTACATCGGTATCATTACCGAGATTCTTCATTTTCTGCTTTTTCCTCCATTTTCCGAGTTTCTTGCTGAAGACTGAAGCCGCTTCCCACACACTCCCTGCAATTTCTCTTAAATCGCGACCAGCATTCTTCTTCCTCCGAAATTCAAGATCTATAAACTCCTTCATCGTCTTGAACTCAGCATCCTCTCCAGAAAAATCGTCGATTATATCCAGAGCCGGTCCAATTACCCCCTCAGAAGCCCTAAATTGCCTCTCCTTCGCCACAACCTCACGCAATTCAAAACCTAAATTCTCAGACTCGATCTCCACCTCTTTCGTACATCTCGGCTTATCTTCCCGACAGAAAAGGTCCGACAACGAATCACCGGAGCGAGCATCGCACGACTTCCGATGCTGCACCTCCGGTCGTCCGATGCCGGCCTCACGCTTCGCCGCAGAAAAAGATTTACTCCGCCGGAGCTCAGACGTAGAATGCTGGTTCAAAACAGGCGATTCCTGACGCGTATCGGAATCAATCCCAGCAAGGCGTTCTCGGAGGCAGGAGGCACAGAACCCAGTCACCGGCTCACTAGGATGGCGGCGACAACTAGAAAGCCGATGAGAAACAGCTTTGTTCTGCAGATTCATGGCTGAAGATACAAAATACTCTCATGGCGCATAGCCATCAAGATCGAAAAAACGGAGAGAAACCGAAGAAGAAGAAGTGGTTAGAAACAAAAAGGAGAGAGTGAAGAAGCTCCGAAGAAACCCTCACTAAACCCTCTCTCAATTGCTTAATTAATAATAATTTCTTTTACTAATAAAATCCCATAGCCTTCTCCTCCCCCACCCTCTAGGTCTGTAATGCCTACGCGCGTGCTTCTCACTCGCTTCTATTACATCCATACCTTTTTTTATTTTATTAAAATAATATTCGTTCAACGCATATTATTGTATCCTATTATTACCGTCTTATTTCCGCGGTACATTTATGTCATAAATACATTAATTATCTTCATTTTTAGTAGATAAAATTAAATATAAAACATAGTTTAATAAATAAAATACTGATTATCATCTTAAAAATTGATGTATGATTGTTAAATTCGGTAATTTGTATAATATTTATTGAGGGGTAAAGATTAAAACTTTATGGATTTTATTTTTACCCTAATTAAATTATTTAAATGAATAACAAGAATCATGGGGTGCGAATTGTAATTACCAACCAACAATCTAGATAAGAGCAAGGGAGTGATTTGTAAATAGAGAGAAAACCGGGGGTTGATTGGAAGGATCTTGTATGGGTGTGTACGTGCACCTACAACCGTCTTGTTTTCTGGGGTTCGGTGGGTAGACAAGAATGATAATGGCGATTTGGAACTTGGCTATCCGGTCATCGGGTTGTTCAACAACTTGAGAGCCACAACAAAAAAAACTTGAAGAAGTTGGATTGGGAATTGACAATTAACCCACCTCGCTTGGTTTTTGTGTCAATTATTGTTTATGCCATTTTTGTTTGCACTCTATATCTTTAATTTTTTTTTTTATTGTAATTATATTTTTCGATTTTATTTTTAAATTTTTAAAATATATATATATAAAGTCTATCTCACATTTGTCATAAATTCATTTTAGATTAACACAAACATTATTTTATTTTAAAACACAATTTTAGACCATAAACTAGTTTATTTACAGTAAAGGGTTGTTACTTATTTCTAAATTTTAAAGTATTTTTATTAATTTTCCACTAATTCTAAAAAAATATATTAGTTTATTAAACTTAAATTTCTTATAAATAGCACAAATAATTTGCAGTTAGTACCAAGTTGAGCGAATAATTAGTATCTTTATTTTATTAATAATAAAGACAACGTTGGAAAATAAAAGGCCATATAAATTGATTATTCACATGCTTTTCATGGGATTCCTCGAATATTTCTGCGTCGGACGTCCAAACAAGAAACTGTCCATCCCGAAAATAAGGATCCACCGTCCATTCGGAGGCTCGTGCGATATCAATTGTTTTAATTGGTGGAACACCAAACCCTCATGCTCCTGCGTCGCACTGGATAATTCAATGAATCTGACCTATTCTGATAGCCAAGATCGAAGAAGAGAGGTGGAAAGGAAACCATGGAGAAGGCGAAGCAGCTTTTGGAATTGACTCGGGAGGAATCCGATGCCGTCGAGAAACTCGACGGCCGGCCGAATAGTGCCGGAGATTCTTGCTTCTACATCTTCTTTTCTTTTAGAGGCATCCGGGTCAATCGCGTCGACCAGGGCTCATCGTTTGTACTCTCAAGGTCCCCCCGCGCCTCACGGTAAGAACACTCAACTCTCTGTTAGACTGTTAGATCCTTCGCCATTTATTTGCCCTAATTTTGGAGCTATTTCTGAATTCTGATGAAAACGCTACGAAATCGATTGACGATCGGTTATTCTGCGAGCGAATCACTCGATGAAGAAAGAGGAGAGGCTGATTTCTCAAATTAAGCACTCAAATCGCTCGATCGAAATCGAAATCAAATTACTCGATGCAAAATTTTCTCGGAACGATTGAATTTGTATCGTATTGTTCAATGGAGTTCGAAATCTGTGGGGAGTGCTTTTATTTTCCTTAATTGCAACGCCTCTTGTCATCGATTTGTCGTTTCAGGATCGATCGGGGAGGCTGGCTTCGGGTGCGATCGCAAACCTAGTCAATGAAATTGGCAGCGCCGTAATCTACGATGAGCCCCCACCGACGCTGGTTTCTGTGGACATTTCGATCGCATACTTGTCGACCGCCGATGTTGATGTACGTATTATCCTCTCTTCTGCTACTCAGATTCACTTCACGAGCCCTAAAACAAACAAGCAAGAACGATGAAATCTAAATTGTTTATGAAAATTGCAGGATGAATTGGAAATAACGTCGAGGCTGTTAGGGCAGAAAGAGCGTTACAATGGAGCCAGTGTGATTATTAAGAACAAAAACGACTGGAGAAATTGTTGCAGAAGGAAGGCACTCGTTCTTCAGAATACGATCCAAAATGTGAGTGAAAGTAGAGAAATTCATTTAAACACTGATTTTCTGATCCACCATTCTTGGCAGACATATAATCATATTCAAAATTTTTATTGAGCATAGTTCGTTCATCACTACCAGTGCTAAATAACAATGCAACATAATAATTTTTTAACATTGCTCAAATTTTGGTTTTATCTTTACGAATGAAAGTTAATTAAATTACCATTTAGTCAACTATCTTTCAAGTTTTGTTCATTTGAATTGGAATTGGTAGATTACCAATAATGAATTTTAAAAAAAAAAAGTTAGAATGGGTATAAGGATTTTTTAGATATAAAATTGAAAAAATTAATGATTTATGCCACAGTCAAGAAAATGACTAATACAATTTGGAAAAATTGTAGATTTATTGTTTTTTTTTTTTTTTTCAATTTAACCAACAAAATACTCTTTTGAATTCATATTTATCATTTATTGAATTAAACTCATGATTATTATTATTTTAATTTTTAAATTATTTGTACGATCTAAGAATTTCCTTAAATTTTAAAAACTACCTTTAAGAATGTTTTATTGTTAATATATCGTTTCAAGAACGCACTGGAATATCAATAATCTCCCTTTTTAATTTTATAGGTACTAAAAAAAAATTACCTTGAAAAATATATTTAAACACATTTTTTAAATAAAAGGTTAAGGGTTTTATTTAGAATTAACACTAATAATATTTTTAAAACTTTTATTTAAACTTTTAATTTTATTTTTATATATATTAAGTTTTAACTATTATAATTTATTTGTATGACATTTTAACTATTATATATAATCATTTTTTAAATTGGTGGTCAGACGGTTAAATAGATTAATAGACATAATATGTCATATTTATTAATAATACAAACAATCAAAGTCTAATAGAAACTGAGAGATAATTACAAAAAAAAAAAAATTATCTTATTTTTTAAAGAAATTAAAGATTTTAAATATTAGAACTAATTTCTACGTTTCAACATACTATAAAAATAAATTCTAACTTCCTCCAAAAAAATTTTAATTTTTTTATAAAGAAAAAAAGGAGTAGCATATATTAAATGAAAAAGTCAATTTACGAGTTTTTTAATTCCACGTATATTTAGCCAATTTTGTATTGATCAGTCCAATCCTACCGTTAGTAGATATTGTCTGTTTTCACTCGTTATATATCGGATAATAACTATGGAGAGGGTCTAGTCCTACTTCGACGCACCATTTGGTGACTGGCTCTGACACCATTTGTAATATCACAAACCCACCACTAGCAGATAATATCGATATTCCGCTTTGACTTGTTATGTATTGGGTAATAACTATGGAGAGGGTCTAACCCTACCTTGATGCACTGTCTAGTAACTGACTCTGACACCATTTGTAATGTCTCAAGCTTACCGCTAGCAAATATTGTCCGCTTTGACCGGTTACATATGACCGTCATCCTCACGATTTTAAAACTCAGTATGCAAGGGATAAGTTTCTACACCCTTGTATAGAATGATTCGTTCCCTTCTCCAACTGATGTGGAATCTCCAAACCAAGTCAAGTGCACTCAATTTCAATTGAGTACCAATGACAAACGGTAGCCATCATTGGTTCTAATACCAACGAAAAGTAATCTCTACGTAAGATTTTGAAAATTATACATTTTTTCTATTCAAATATGAGTCCAAATTTAAAAAATTAAAATGCTTGGAATTTATGAATTTTTAGACTTTTCTTTTTGATTTATTATTAAATTTCTATTAAATAAACGTGTGCGCTTGAAAATAGCTTGTTCGAGATTTTGAAAATAGCCTCAATTAAATTGTTTTTTTATAATTAAATTGGTGCTTGAGTATCAATAATCAATAAAATTTTAATTTTATAGGGATTTTCTTAAAAAAATAAATGCAATAAAATTACATATTAAACACTTTTTTTTTTAGATGGACGAATGACAAGAATTTAAATTTTATAGAATAAATCAGACCATTTAATTTTAAATATAAAAGATTCAAATTTTTTAAAATAATATTGAAATGTACACGAATTTATTAAATCTGTCAATTATTTTAAATTTTATATTAATAGACAAAATTTAAAATATAGAGATTTTAATTTGATGGAAATATAAATAAATTGTCCAATATTCCTGAAAAATTATTTAAATTATAAAAAAAAACAATAATTAAATTAATAAATAAACAGTTTCTATTTTTAAATAAGTTAAAATGCTTATTATTTTTATTTTTAATTTATTGTCTATTTCATCAATGAAATTCTAATAAAATTGTTATAAATAGAAATTTAATACCATTAATATAGAAAAATTTATAATTTAGTCAAAATTAAAATTTAGTCTTTTTTTTTAATTTTATATTATGATAAAACTTTATAAATAAAATAATCCCAAATAGTTTTTAATTTAATTAAAATAGAAAGATTAATTTAAAATTTTAAAATTAATTGAGATTAAATTATTATTATTTTTTGGTCAAAATTAGAAGGGTTAAATTTGTAATTTCACAAGAAAAAAACAGAGAACCTGTGTAAAAGAACGGGGAAGAGAGACGGAGCATAATTGCGGCGGCCGGCGATGAAAAACCAGTGAGTGAAGGGACAAAGTCAAGCGCAAAAGGCGTGAACTCTCAAGCGTAAGCAAGGACTTTTGTGGCATTTTCAAATTGTCAAAACCCTAAAGACAATTTTACCCTTCAAAGTAGCATTACACCACCTTCTCTGCTTGACCAAGAAAACAGACTCAGTCTTTCATAAATTAAAAATTAAGTGCTTACAATTCATCTCTTTTCTTGATTTCAACATTTTAAATTTTGAGGAACAGGTAAAATCATGATCAGATTTCCGAATCGAGAAACGGCAGAATTTTGTTTCTGTAAATGAAGAACCAAGACTTCTTTAGCCCTCAATTCCAGGCTCAGAGATCGAAGAACTCCAAATCCCGAAACGAACGCCGTTCCGGTGTCATAAACAAGCGGAAGAATCCTGAATCTGTATTCCCGTTTAAGTATGTGAAAGCTGGTGTTAATCGAGTTTCTGGATTTTTTAAATCCATTTTCATCAGTCGGAAGCAGAACGCTTCGGATCGTACTGTGATTGGCGCTAGAGAAGATAATAATTCTCGCAGAGAATTCTCCTGTGAGTTTTTTTTTATATATTTATTGCGGTGAGTTGGCTTATTGATATGAAAATTGATTTTGTTCTTCTTTCACGTGTAGCGTATTCGTCGGGAAGCTTTGGGAGGAACTCGTCGCCTTTGAAGTCTTATGGATCGTATGCTTCGTACGGTTCATCGTCTACCTTTCCCAGCGATTTTTTCGCATCTGCAGGATTCTCGATTGACGTAATTTACAAGGCGACGGATAATTTCTCTGCTGCGAATGTAGTTGGAACTGGAGCATTTGGAACGGTGTATAAAGGGAAGCTCAAAGACGGATCTCTTGTTGCCGTAAAGCGAGCCAGAAGGGTACGAAGTTCAAGTTCAAGTTAAATTCTGTTGATTCTCTCCATTGTTGATTAGGTTTCTGTTACTTTCTTGAAAGTTACGTAACAGTTGAGTCCATCACGTGATAGAACTTGAGATTGACAATGAACTGAATGATGATATTGATCTTAATCTAACCATTAAGTGCTTAGGGTTAAGATTTGTATCGATCTAGGGTCTATAGTTCCCTTCATTCCAGAAATCAATACGATGCAATTCTGCGAGCATGACAGATTTTTGATACTTTTGGCAGAATGCGCACGAGAGGCGATTGTTGGCTGAGTTTAGAAATGAGATACAAACTTTGTCAAGGATCGAACATTTGAATTTGGTTCGTTTGTATGGCTATCTGGAGCAAGGAGATGAGAGGATTATTATTGTTGAATTTGTTGGCAATGGAAATCTGCGGGAGCATCTTGATGGTAAGCAATTTTGACGAATCATTTTGAATTTTGTTGATATGTTCAGAGGAGAAGATGTCAAGAAGATTAACTCGTTTATGCAGGCAAGCGAGGAGTCGCCCTCGAGATTGCAGAGCGTCTGGACATTGCCATTGATGTTGCTCATGCTATCACCTATCTTCACATGTACAATGGTATGCACACGATTCTAGTAATGCATTTGATAGCTTTCATAGAAATGGTTAGGGAGTGCAAATCCAATATAAACTAAAATTTCAACTGTTCAAGCATGTTCGGAAGTGATTTTGAACGTGACAAAGACAATTTTTAACAGCTTCAAAATCACTAAAAACAAGCTTAGATACAAACTAGCTCATGCTGTTCAGTTGCTGAGTTCAACTATCTAGTAACTGATGAAGCAGAGAGAAATCTGAATCTGAATTCTTATTATGCAACTGACAGATGCGCCAATAATCCATAGAGATATAAAGGCTTCAAACATCCTAATCACCGAGAAACTACGAGCAAAAGTGGCCGATTTCGGGTTTGCACGCCTTGTTGCAGAAGATTCTAATGCTACACATGTCTCGACCCAAGTTAAAGGAACAGCTGGATACTTGGATCCTGCATACTTAAGGACTTATCAGCTCACTGAGAAGAGTGATGTATATTCCTTCGGTGTGTTGCTGGTAGAGCTCATGACAGGAAGACGCCCAATTGAATCAAAAAGGGATGTCAAAGAAAGAGTAACTATTAGATGGGTAAGTATTTTTCTCCTTTATACCCTGCAGTTTTACATCACATTCCCTTGAAAACCTCAGCTATAGAATGAGTCGAGCATAACTCATAGCGGACATTGGCTCAACTGTGTTTATGATCTCTAGATTTCATGCAAGTAAAATCCATGAGTTATCAACCGTATCATGAGGTCTTGTTTTGAATTTCTTCCTTGGAACTAATGGGTCGAGTAGCTCGAAAAGAACTAGTTTCTGCGTTGCGTGGATGGAACACGTCTCAGATAAGCCTTATTGTGATAGGAGTAGAGTTCGCTTATTTTCAAGTCGGGCCCTAAATTCCCTCTCTTTTTAGATGAACATAACAATGAAAGAGTAGGATCAAGCGCCTAGCTTATAAGAACAGTCGAGGTGTGCACAAACTGACTTAGGCGTTGATACGTCCTATTAAATATTTGTATAAAGGAACGTGTATGAGAAAGGAGGACGGGAAAAGGAATTTTGTGATAGGAGAACGTGTATGAGAAGGGTATCTTTTTACTAGGCCATTTTGTGATATTTCCATGTGAAATGTTGGCTCAGCTTCTTAGTTCTAAGTCCAACCAAGAGCTAAACAGCTCCATATAGACCTATCCCATGCAAACTCCAAAGCAGAGCTCAAACAAAATATACATCATAATCATATAGAAGACATGATAAAAAATTGCTTACGCAGGCAATGCAGAAGCTGAATGAAGGAGAAGCTGTGGTTGCCATGGATCCCAGACTGAGAAGGACTTCTGCATCCACACGGACCACAGAGAACATGCTCAACTTGGCTCGCCGATGCCTCGATCCATCGAGACCGTCACGACCATCCATGAAAACTATTGGAGAGGAGTTATGGGGAATCCGAAAGGAATATCGAGATAGATTACTATCGTCTTCTTGCTCGGAGTCTGTTCGTTCAGCAGAATTTCCCGTTCGAAATGCAAGAGATAACCTTTATGTTTCTTTAGGCATTAAAGATGAAAAAGATTTGTACAGCAAATTTGTTTCTGCATAAGTTACCAATACTACTGAGACTCATTTTTAAGGATTATGGTCCATAGGTCAAGAAGTCTTGATACGATAATTATGCATTCGTTAGTTGAATTACGCTTGGTCTTCACTTATATTTGAGTTACATTGATTTTGACAGACATTTCTAAACGTATATTCACACGTAAATTATCCTCAACATGAATGAAACCGGATTTAATGGCCACCATTGATGCAATTTTCTCATCGTTACCCGTACAATCAAGATCCGTGTATGAAATGTTGAGGATTGTTGGGAGAGAGTCCCACGTTGGCTAATTTAGGAATGATCGTGGCTTTTTAAGTAAGGACTACTACATCTCCATTGCTAGGAGGTATTTTGAGAAAGTTCAAAGCAAAGCCACGAGAACTTATGTTCAACCTCTAATCCATGGGCAAACGTCAAGCCCGCAGTGGAAATTATGGGCAGGGGGAAATTTCTTGGCCCATCATTAATGGGCCTAAATGATAAAAAGCATTAAATCATGGCCCAAGCGGCAGGCCCAGTCTACGGGTCAATGGGCCAAACTGACATCCTACCGTAGAAATACGGCCCACAAGGAATGGCGGGAACGATCAAACTACCCGACACGTCAAATCGAACTCTCCCTATTCAAATTGCGTTCACAAATCATCACTATAAAACCCAATTTCATTTCCCATTTCTCGCGCGCTTTTCCAAACCCTACCCAGCCCCAGCAATTGCTCTGTAATTTCTCTAAAAATGTTGGAACTTCATCTTGTTCAGAATTCGCTCCTCAAGAAGGTCTTGGAGTCGATCAAAGATTTTGTGACCGATGCAAACTTCCATTATTCGGCCACTGGATGCTCGCTTCAGGCCATGGATTCGAGCCATATTACCCTGGTGGTTCTTCTCCTTCGAGCGGAGGCCTTTGAACTATATCGTTGCGACAGAAACATTTCCGTGGGAATGAACTTGAACAACATGTCGAAAATGCTCGAGTGTGCCGGCAATGATGATGCCATTAGAATCAAGGCTGATGACGGCAATGATACTATCACTTTCGTGTTTGAAAGCCCCAGTATGATCTTGCTCTTTCTGTCCTTCTTTAGTAGTTTCAATCATTTTAGAACCTCGTTCTCGTAGTTATGTAGTTTTTAGATTATCGGATTATTTTTCTGTTGTCTTTTGAACTTCTTGATCTGTTAGATTTAAGTAATAGTAGTTGCATCTCAAGGTTCATTTCGTCTCTAAGCATAGTATGATTCTTAGGTCAGTTTCAATGATTGTTAACTAGAAAGGCATCGGACTCTGGATCTGAAGCGAGTATCTGATGCTTTCTTTCTTACCTTTTGTCCGTCCCATCCATGGTATCAGCCCAACGCAAGGTTTCCAATTTTGAGATGAGATTGATGGACATCGATAGCGAGCAACTTGGAATTCCAGATTTAGAGCATCATGCTATTGTTAAAATGCCTTCTGTTGAGTTCGCTAGAATTTGCAAAGATCTCAGCAGCATTGGTGATACTGGTACATCCTAATACCTTTACCTTTCAGTGTTTTATCTGATTTACCTGACAAATTCTTGGATTATGAAAAAATTAATTGACTTCACCGATTCTTACAGTTATAATCTCTGTGACGAGGGAAGATGTCACGTTCTCAACAATAAGCGATATAGGATCTGCAAACATTGTTTGCAGCCAGAACGCTGCTGTAGCCAAGGTCTGCATGCGCCTTAACACTTCAGGGATCTGATTTCATTAACTTAATTCTTTTTTGAATACTGAATTTTGATCTGTCTCAATTTTGGGGCATGCAGCCAGAAGAAGCAACAGTTATAGAGATAAACGAGCCAGTTTCTTTGACATTTTCTTTGAGGTATATGAACTTATTCACCAAGGCTACACCCCTATCTAATACAGTTACCATCAGCCTGTCTTCTGAGCTACCTGCCATTGTTGAGTACAAAATAGCAGAGATGGGACATGTTAGATTTTACATGGATCCCAGTTAGAAGATGATGAGGATGAGACAAAACCTCAGGTATAAATGTATAATATTCAGTTGCCATTTGTTTCATAAATCCATTTAGGACGTTTCCTGCAGTAGAGTAGTTAGTGTATTTTAGGAGTTTTTCTTGTCCAATACGTACTTTTCTGTTTCTGAGCTTACAATTTTAACATTTTCCCCTCTCATCATATGATCATTTCATTTTTGGCCAAGATGATTGTAACCATAAGCGGAAGTAATCTTTTAAAACATTTTGTTAAAAAGAGCAAATGTTACTTAGCTATCTACCCTAGTTGGATTGAATTGCAAAAATTTTAGATTAAAAATAAGTTTGTGTAAGTGTGTGCACTGTGTATTTGAGTAGTGCAACTTAGATTGTTGTTGGCCGTTAAAAAGTGTTAGGTGTTTAGAAAGTGAGTGTTTTGTATATTTTTGTGTATTGAATGTTCTGAAAGAAGACTAGTACTCTATAGGGTATGATTTTTTGTGGAGTACTTTTTTTCCTCTCGGGTATTATTAAAGAAAATTTATTTAAAAAAAAAAAATTATTTACCATTCCTACCCCATTTTATAAAAGATATTAAAAATGTACAAACAAATTCAAGTTAATTTGAGAGAATTGTAAAACAACTAAATATATCAACACTTGTGGCTCAATTGATTTAAAGAAATTATGTATAACAAAAAATAAATTATTAAAAATTATATAAATTAGGATATAACAGCATATATGTTTGCAACAAAAAAAATAAAAATAAAAAAAAAATAAATATAACAATGTATAATGGGTAAGAAAATTAGAACTTACCATGCTTTCCACATGGTTTAAAATTGCTCAAATATGATTTTGATTCAAAATAATATAAATGCATGCATAAATCATAATCGATGACACTGTCGTAAGGGGCCACAGGTCACGCACCATTGTAGTAAGCTAACTCCAATAGTAAGGTCACTTACCATGGTGGCCTTGGCCAAAATCACTTACAACAAGCCAATTCCAACGGTTAATTACGTCCTATAATAACCACGTACGAATTTAGGAGATAGAAAATGATATATGCTTTCTCACGTAGAAACTAAACAAAATAATAGAAAAAATAATGTATATAACTGATTCAAAACTGCACATTTTAGAATTAAAATACTAAATAATTACGAGTAACTTGATATTAAAACGTCAACTTTGGGCTTCATGAATTAAGGAGGATTCATATGATTCTCCTTCCTCAACTTCGGTTCTCTCTTGATTTTCAATAAAAAAAGAAACTTGCTTAGTCATACCAAGCACTTGCCCGCTCCTCACTTGGTGGGATCCATGCTTGTTATCCTTACTATACTCGGGCCCATGCCTCTAGCCATAAACTATGCTTGTTTTCTTTATTGGGCCCCATACTGGCTATAACGGCTCCTGCTCGAGCTATCTTAGTTTGGTTCGAATCAACTCAAAATTTAGTCTAATGAACCCGATACCTTAACCAAATCTATTCAATTTCAAAAAATTAATCGAACCCAACGCAAAATGCTAGTCCAACTCAACTCAACTCCAACTCAACTCAACTCCTATAATTCGAGTTGAGTAAGTTTGAATGGGCGGGTTCAATGTATACTCTACTTTGATTGATTTTTAATTAGCTTCAAAGGTCGCATCACATAGGCTCTAATAGGGTAAAAGCAAAACCATATGAATAAGCTTTCTGAAAGGGATGAAAATAAATTCACAAATGACTGCTTGGTTCATGTGAATGCCAGAGGTTTTCTCTTTGTGCATTTTCATATGATCATGAGGAAGATTAGAAGATGTTAACCCCTTGAATTCCTAGGCAGGCCCAAAGCACATGAAAATTTCTAGGACAACCGTCCCAAATTTTTCGATATCATCTTTAGAATAACACCTATCAACATGAACATTGTTAAGTAGTAATTGACATGTATTTCTTTCTTTAGGGTCGAAATTCTAATGTGAACAGTCCAGATTCAGAAACGGTAAAAATACGGAATACATTTCCCATTTTAGTTGTGTTTTTCTGTAAGATAGTCCCAGATGTTAACTTGTAAAGCAACTCGGATTTGAATCTAGAAGAGGAACATTGATTAACCTGCAATTTATGTAACTTTGTACATGTCCTACACTACACCAAAAGCAGTAGATGAGCCTGTGAAATGGTTGATCGATCCAAAAAGTACTTTTGCTGCCCCAAAGTGTGTTATTCTGTAAACTCCTGGAGTTGCAGTTTTAGGGATTCTCCATTCTATGGTTGCATAGCTTTGACTGCTAAGCTTGAACGGTCTCGACCACTTAAAACGCAGGCAGAAGTCATCGTCGTCGTAGGCTGGAACCCACAGTTTTTTGTCATGAAGAACCTCCACCAATGCATATGTACCTTCAGTCATGAGATCGTTCCGAGGACAGGCCGACCAAAAGGTAACTGTCACCATATCACCTCTATTGAAGGTGGAATTCTTGGGAACATCAGATTTTACATCCCCAAATTTTACTGAACGAGGAGTTGCATCCATCACAACAGGCGGTAGTAGGCTTATCTGCTTATTCAGTAAATCTGGAGGTTGTGGCCCTGCACCAACTGCTTGGCCATCTATGAGCGCATGGGCAAGCTTCTTAAACTCTTGAATGTAGGCATTTAGAGTATGAGGACCGTATAATGTAGAGGCACCCTGAAAACCAAGATTTTGTGTGGGAAAGTAAGAAAATACAAAATTCATGCTACAGCTTCACTAAAGAACATTCTGTTTTCTACACTTCTTTGTCTCTTAGTTGGTCTTTTTTTCTCCTAAGAGCTAAGAGAGGAAATGCAGAAGAATCCATTAGTACTTCAACATAAGACGTGTTCATGCGGAATTCTAAATAGCAGAATCAAGATTTACAGCATTTACAAGTCTCGGGCTAATAGATAAAATAAAAGCTGTCGGATTCATAGAACAACTACTAAACTTGAAAGAATTAAAGAGTAGGTATCCACAGATTCATAAAACAACTAATAAACTTGAAAGAAAAAGGAGCAGATTGAGCATTTTTATTTCCTCTCAATTTTTTTTTTTTCGCAGGTATAAGATAAAAGTAATGATAATGATTCTCAGCATTTGCAACCATACCATTGAGTTAACTTGCAAGCACTCTTCTATCTACTATATATATATTATTATTATTATTATTTATTTTTTATTTTTTACTGTGACTAAATATTTCTCCACTATGAAAGGATCTCCTAAATTGCCTGAAAATCAATTCCACATGCAACTGTTTAGCCTCTACATGGAGAACTGACCTCATATCTCTGAACTTGGTACTCTTCAAAAGTGGTAACATACTGTGAGTAAGAATTTGTTAATCCCGCAATAACAATATGGACGTCACCATTCAATTCACTTTTACTTCCATCCGTTAGCACTGTTTTCACAGCATCACGAAGGCGCCTCCCAGCCATTGTCGTAAATTCTGGCAGCAAAAGAGTTCTAACAGATATCAGACTTCAGAGTGAAAGCGACAACGTGACAGTGAAATTATGAACTTTTTGGAATTCTGTAAGCAGATGGAAAATTATTCTAGAAAAGATCACATGAACTTTTCATGCGAAGACATGAAGCTTAAAGAATGCAAACGAAGTGATCAGAGAAAAAGGCAATATCAATGGTTAAGCGAAATTACTAGGAGAAATAAAGTTACTTTCTGCAGCCAGCGGGGAATGTTGTAAGGTAATCCATAAGTAATAAAAATAACGAGGTCTCAAATGTCTTCACATTGTTCTCACTGTCTTCCATTATTCTGAAAATTTTGTCACTTTCTTTCCAGCTAAAATTTTTCACAGATGGGTTTCAGAATTTTTTTAATTCCTTGGATTCCTTCATCAAGGAAAATTCAAATACATCCAAAGATAGCAAAATTTGCAAAATCCAACGGTAAACCAAGGCTTTCTCAAATAATTTATGAGTTGAGGAGGATCAGAAAAGGGGGAGAGGGTAATTCACTTAAAAGAGATGATATTTTCTTGGGCCTTTCAAGTCATAATGATGGAGAAATATAAACTCAATGTTCCCGATAGTCACCTTCTCCAAACCACATCAAGCCAATTAAGGGCTTGCTTGCAGCAACATTGTATGCTAAGCACTTTAGACATAATAATTGTAACGACCTAGATCCACTGCTAGCAGATATTATCCTCTTTGGGCTTTCCCATTCGGGCTTCCCCTCAAGGCTTTAAAATGCATCTACTAGGGGAAGGTTTCTACACCCTTATAAATGGTGGTTTGTTCTCCTCCCCAACCAATGTGGGACATCACAATAACACATGCAGAAGTATAGCCTACTTACTCCAGCCAAGCTTCAGGTTAGCACACACAATTGCATATGAATTCGTTCACATGAAAAAACTAAAAACTTCAACAAGCAATTTCTGAATGTGCAAATAAAAAAAATTGAAAGCAACAAGTACAGTTTCTGTTATGAGATTTTAAGACAGCTTAAAAGTGGAGGTGGAAACGTAGGTGACTCTCCCAATATATGTGCAAAGTGCATAAGCTGGTAGAGAAAGTAGAGCAATAAAGAAAGCTACTACCTCCAGGTACTCCAAGAATGATAAGCTGCCCCACTCGGAGGATTTGGATGGGAAGTATTGACGGCTGTAGAAATAATGAAAATTAATTTCATAATACATGGACATAGTCATTGATGTGGATAAGTATTTTCTAATTTCTAAGTTCTTGATTTTTTATTTTTTCTCTCCTATTTTCACTCCCTTCTTGAGTTTGTAACCTTGATCATTTTTTCCTTTTTCATTATATCAATGAGAAGTTGTTTCTTGTTTAAGAAAAAAAGTACTAGAAAATTTTAGAAAGACATACTATAATGGGGCAAAACAACTTATCATTCCTATGGACAGTTTATTACACGCATGTAGTTGGAACTTACAGCCCAATCATACGGTTTTCTCATTTCACCAGTATCCAGTAAGATGGGCTTTGGCCGTTGACAATCAACTTGTTCCTTCTTTGGTGTCTTTAAAAAGTTACGTATGATCCTCCAAAAAGGATTTCCCTGATAAATTAACATCATTGAGGTAAAGAAGGATGGTGAGAGTCCATAGATAGAATCATTCATACTGTAATAACTACCAATTAATGTCATTATTACCTTGTCATCTCCTTGCTCAAAATCAAAGGCACCGGGTCCATCAGTGGTTC